AAGTTTTGAATCCGTCAGTTATGAAATTATTATACAGCAATTTCATAATATGATAAATTTTGTAAAGGACAATTATATGATATATTAAATTAATAACTTAATTTTTTTAACGAATTTTGAGATTGCTACTTTTATACCAAATTTTAAGCAAAGCCTCTTAGATCAAAATTCTTGGATATCCGATTCCAATTTGTTTTAGCCTCTTCCACTTGTTTTAAGCTTAATATTGATATTACTTATTTTTAATTTATTTAGAAATAATTAAAGACTTATTTGTTAATTTAAATAGTTCTCACGAATTTTTTATTTTTATAATTTTTCTATAAATATCTATACATTTTATCAATAGTTCCATCAACAATTTCATGAAATTGAGACATCGAAATTATTATCAACATCAACATTTAAAATCTTGATATTTTCTATTTTTTTTAAAACGCCAATTTAATTATCATAATAATTTGATTAAAATTAAATGCAAGTAGGTAGATCAAATTTTGAAATATCTACTTAACATAGTGATAAGAAAACGTAACAAAGTTAGAAGTGAAGTTGTTCAACTCCCTATCCACGTCGCTTACGAGAGACACGTGTCAAAATCACAATAAAAATCAATCGAAAATGTTAATTTGATGTTATTTAATATAAATTTTATGGAATCGGAATAAGAAATCTTGGATGTTGTTTACTAAAACTTAATCACATTATGTTTTTTTTTTATCAGATAAAAAAAATTACTATTATACACCTTCCTTATTTTTAACTACTTACAAGTATATTATTGATTGGTTGTAAATATTTTTTATTATAATAATTTATTTAATATTAACAAATAATAAATAACTAAAATAAAATTACATCAACTAAAATAATTTTTTATTAGAAAAAGTCATTATTTAATATAAAATAGTATTAAACTTTATTGTTATAATATTTAATAATAATAAATTCTATTTAAAAATGTATTGATATTAATTAATAATAACACAGTAAAATTATTCTATTAAAAATTAAATTTAAATTTATAACCTTTTATAATAAAATCGCATCAACTATAAAATTTTATGATAAGAAAATTTGTTAATAATATAAATAAAAAAGAAATAATAAAATTGTACGACAATTAATAAAAAAATTAATGAATCTCATTAATAGATAAAAGGAAAAATGTAAATAATAATTATAAAATGTGGAGTCCACAAATAACGAGTGGGAATGAAATTGATGAGGTTATAGAAGAGAAATGAAATTATACCATTTAAGTAAGAGATTATAAAGTTTGAGAGGTTATAAAATTTGAGGGTGATACACCATTTTATTTCATTCATAGCATTTAGTAAACAATATTAAATGGAATGAAAATTTTGATTTCCATTTATTACAAGTAGATTAGCCAAATAAACAGTAGTTCATTCAACTGAATAAACTTCTTTCGAGGATAACTTCTTTATGGATTATTGGCTAAACATGTATGGTCCTAATTTTGTTTAAGTTGCCCTTTGAATCTCTTAAAAATTCAATTCAATTTAATTAGTTATTATATATTAAGTTTTTTAAAGTATAATTTTATTGTTAAAATAATTATAATTTTATTAATAAATCATAATGCGATATCAAAATAAATTTTCATTAATATCTTATGAGTTCTTTTAACCTCTAAATGTAGTAGTTAGAGTCAGACAGTTATTTTATGAGATTATTCGATATATCTATCCAAACTAGTATGGACAGTCACATAACGTATTATTTTACATATATTTTATTCAACAACTTATCTTTCATGAACTAGCGTGTATAATTTAAATTTATGATTGGGTTTTCTTTAACCCAGAGGTAATATTTAAAATATTTTGTTTAGTTTAAATGCTTGAAAAGACAGATAACAATGAAATGTTTTTAAAATGTGAACAGTGTGAAGTGTTAGGTTTAAAATGTTTATTTTGATATCTATATAATTAATTTTTGTTCATTTTAGTGGTGTAGTTCCGAAAGGTTAGTTTGGGTCGGTAAACCTTTAAAAAGTTATCTTTGGCTCTTTCATTTTCATTTTTAATCTCATAGATTTTTGTTACAATTTTAACACTACACTTCACACTATAGACTTATTAAAATGTAGTCATAAAATTGTATGGTAAGGTTTCGGTCTTTAAATTTTTACAAATAAGAAGAAAGTCACTTTTCAAAAGCACATGGACCACAACATACATTTTTGCAAATATAGAGACTAAAATAAACAAAAGTTGAAAGTGCATAGTTGAAAGTACATAATAAATCAAAATAGATGCTCTAAAGTCTCCTACAGAGACAATGACCCTTTTACCTGCAGTATTGTTCTTTACTTGCTTTTTTCAAAATCTATATTTTCTAATCCATCCTTGACATCATACTAAATTACTTTCACTACCCCTCTATATCTTATCTTTTCCGTTTCTCTCTCCCCCTTCTCCTCCCATTTGTTCTATTCAACCCAAAAACAATATTTTTTTCCCTTCTCTTTCCCCTTTTTCATCTTATTCCCTCCCTTTCTTTACGATTTTTTATCCTTATTTTCCTTCCCTCTCTTCCATTTCTTTCTTATTCTAATTTTCTACTAATCTTCCCCTCCCCTTCCTCCTCTTGATTTTTTTTGTCGTCTTTGTGACTCCATTGCTAGACCTCAAAATTCAAACAATACCAAGAAAAATCTCTCTTTTTTTCCTATGTCTCTCTTACTCATCTCTTACTATAGACCTTAAAATAAAAAAAAAAAAAAATCAAACACACTCAAATTAATTTTGAAATCTTTGTGTGATGAAGGCACAGTGGAAGGACATGAATCATGATGGGTAGAGGGGGCGCCTATTAAGGTTTTTGTTTTTTAGAAAGAGAACCGATAACCAAGAAAAAAACCCCTATTTTTACTAGAGAGACAGTATCTAGTAGGTGCTTGTTTTTATTATTATTATTAATTTTGTAGAGAGGGAGGTGTTCGATAGATTAAGGAAGAAAGATGGAAAAAAACATACTTTTTTTTATTCTTTTATAAAATTAATTGGATTTTTGTTCGATTTTGATAATTGTTTTTAGTGTTTCAAAAATGAGTCTTTTGCCAAGATGTTTATAAAGAAAATCCAATTTTGAGAAAAAATTGAACAAGAATGAGAGAGAAGATATGGAAAAAAAGAGGGAGTGACAAGAGAGAAATCTAAAAAATGAGTGGAATGATAGTGAAAAAAAATACTGTCCTATTCAACCCAAAATTTCTGTTATTTTAAGTGGGCCTTGGGCTATGGCCTATATTGGACTTGAGTCATAAGTGAGGGAAAGTTTATTGAAGATTTTATATTTCCAAATCTATTGCTTAATTTGTTTGTGGTTCTTGTTTGAATAAGTTTGGAGGATAACTTTTAGTAACTCCTCTCTTTATTTCAATTATCTGGTAAAAATTACCATAGTTATCGAACTCAACCATTTTTTTTTTGAAATAAAAGAAACTGCGTTAATAAAAAACATGACCATTAAGAATTATATCATAATATAGGTGATCGCTCACCACATTCAAAAGTCATGAAGGAAGATAGTTATTTCAAAAGATAAATAAACGATAAAAAAATAAAACATCTACTAATAAAACAACTTGCATCTTAAAAAAAAAAAGAAAAAAAAAACAAATCTAGAGGTGAAAATGAAATGTTTCCTCAAATAAATACGATCATACTTTTTGTCATATTTATAATTATTTTACGCACGTAAAAAATGTAAATTTAATTGAAGTAATTGGTCCGGATTTTTCTGAAACCCTAAAATGGATGATTATTCAATATCCCCATTCTAGGTTTCTAGCGGGAATCGAAGCTCAAGCTAATTTAGATACCTAATCGATCGTTGAATCCGGTGGAATGGGGAGAGAATTGCAGAAGCAGCTGCAGAAGGATATGGTGTCCGCTGAGCAACTACTCGCTGTAAATCCTTACAATCCAAACATCCTCCCTGATCTCGAAAACTACGTGAACGAGCAGGTCCTTATCTCTCTATTTTCAGTTCAATTTGTAAATTTTAATCACCTCTCGCATTCAAACTTAAAAATCGTACTACGCTTCAGATCAATAGAAGCCCAAAGAAATGAATAGGATTTCAAGATAGGTGAAAAAACAGTTTGATTACGCCTATTCCTAATCTTAAATGGAAGGGTTGGATGTAGGCATCCATATGTCAACATACTATCTACTTAAATACATTCAAATGACCCCTTCTCATAGTTCAAACGTATATAACTAGATCGGAACATAGCCCTATTCTGATCTGGCCTGAACTTCTAATCATGAGATTGACTCGATCATTAGATTATAATGGATTAGAAGTTTATAAGTCATAACTCTGGTCAATTTTCATTTTGACCGGAACTAATTATATATATATATATATATATATATATATAAATAAGTGGAAATAACCCTTAAAATAATTTATAATTAATTGAAATATTTATTAAAATAACTTAAATTAATTCAATCCAACTTTTTACATTACAATTTCAAATTAAATTTTACTTTATACCAAATAGATGTTCACTATTTATCTTATGTGAAGCTTCGTCCGAAGAATCATTAAAAAAGTATATATATTATTTAGTATGTTCAAATGTATGATACACAATTTATATGGTCTAATAGAAAACACAACACTAAAAATAAATTTTTATTAAAATTTGCGAGTTGTAGTCAAAGAGATCAATCTTGTACATTGATTTACGAAAACTAAAATTTTTGAATTAATTTGTTAAATGTTGATTTTCATTGAAATTAACGAGTTGTAGGGAAATTTTTAGTCAGGGTAAAAATTACAACAATTATCAAATTCAACAATTTAAATTTATGAAATTAAAGGTTCAGAATAAAATTGAATCCAAATCCAGGGGTGGAAATTGAATGTTTCCTCAAACTAAATAGAAGTTAAAAAATATCATATTTATAATTATTTTTTACATGCGTAATGTAAATTTAACCAAAGTAATTGGTTCAGATTTGGTGGAAACCCTAAAATAGAGGATTCTTCGACCTCCCCCAATCCAGGGTTTCTAGCGGGAACCGAAGCTCGGGTTAATTCAGATATCGGTGGAATGGGGAGAGAATTGCAGAAGCAGCCGCAGCAGGAGATGGCGTCCGCCGTGGAACAGCTGCTCGCTGTAAATCCTTACAATCCCGACATCCTCCCCGATCTCGAAAACTACGTGAACGAGCAGGTCCTTCAATCTCTATTTTCAGTTCAATTCGTAAATTGTAATCACCTTCTCGATCGCATTCAAACTTAAAATCGTTACAGGTCTCATCCGAAACGTACAGCTTAGATGCTAATCTATGCCTTCTTCGCCTCTATCAGGTACCTACCATGCTACTAGCTGCAAATGGATTACTGGGGTTTTACTTGTATTCAATTTTTGTCAGTAAATTCTTCTGGAAAAATATTTGAAGTTAGTCTCTATGTTTTTGGATAGTTTTTCCTTTTTGATTTTTATGGTTCGTTGCTGTTTTACTTTTTTAGTTCACTGTCATTTGCTTTGAGAGAAATTAGAATCTGTTCGATTATATAGCTTATTTAACGCATTGGGCTTGGACCTTAAAGCTTTTGATTTATATGCCTCTGTGTGTTTCCTTCATTTACATGGTTTATCTTCTAGCAAATTCATTGTTGCTTGGTTTACAGTTCGAGCCCGAGAGGATGAGTACTCAAATTGTGGCTCGCATCTTGGTCAAGGTATGTTTTCCTTTCAAATTTCCTTGTCATCACATCTCGTGGAGAATTAAATTCGTATATCTGCTTCATGAAGCTTAATTTTTATGTCTCTGTGCGAGATGGGAATAGGCTCTGATGGAAATGCCAGCTCCAGATTTCAGCCTGTGTCTCTTTTTAATTCCAGAAAGAGTGGTATGTTCTAACGGTTTTCCAGCCCTTAAGTTTCATTAATGTTATTTTATCTTAAGATTTCTATGTCCTTGTGAATTTAATTGACATCTAAAGAAAACAATCAGGTTGCTCATTCATTCCTTGATACATGAACTGTTCCACATACCCTTTGTTGTTCTTTTATGAACTTCTTTTTTCCCTTAGAAGAAACTAAGCTTTTGTTAAGATCAATGAGAGAATGCAAAACAATGTCATCCAAAAAGGAGCCTAAAAGCCATACAAAGGGGAGAATACCGTATTAGATTTTGTAGGTCTCGTTTATTGATTGTTATTGAAAGGGGAATTTCCAAAAGCGCAAAGGAAAATATTGAAGTAAACAACAATGAACTGTCAATTTTCATCTCCTACGTTTTCTGCTTGTGCATTTCTTGTGATTTCCAGTCCTGCCCCTTATTGAAATCTTGTAAACATTATTATCAGCAAATGGAGGATCAATTCAAGACTTTGATTATACTTTCCCACTATTTGGAGGTATGCAAGTTTCTTTACGTTTTTTTTTTGCTCCCTTAATTTAATTTTCTTTTAACAGCAGAGCATGCTCGTGCAATATTTATGATTATTTTGATCCTATCTATGTATAGACTGGAAAGTTCCGTCAATTCTGGGACGAAGCTGCTAAGAATCGTCACATAGTTGAAGCTGTGCCAGGTATTTAGGAACTATAAGGCAGAAACTTGTTTGTTTGCAGCCTTTGGGACACATTTATAGTCTTACAGGGATCTATATATCTGTTCATAATATATGAGCAACACATACTCTTCAAGGTGTCTTGCGATGGAGCCTCTATGTGGAAAGCTCTATTAGCAAAAATCTTTCATTTTTTAACTTATTATGTTTCGTGGAGTTGGGTCTAGGGTGCACGAAGCCTCCATAGAGTAGTGGGGTAGGCCACCGCAAACATAAAACATAAAAGATTTTCACGCTCTGGTTAATTGTGAAGTCTAATAATCATGGATGTTTGGGAGTGGTCAATTTGCAGACATATGCGTATGTAGATCACCTCCTGTTCGGTTGTTTCTAATATGAAAAATATGATGCAGGTTTTGAGCAAGCAATTCAAGCTTATGCAGTTCATGTTCTTTCCTTGACTTATCAAAAGGTTCCTAGATCTGTGCTTGCTGAGGTATGAATTTATAAAGCATATTTCTGCCATTTTAATGTTGAGTAATCTCAGGGTTGGTATTTTGGGTCGTTTGGTAAAGTTCTCATTTTTTGTTTCTCATTTCTTGTTTCCCGTCTTTTCTTAGTAGCTCTTGTTTCTCGTTTCTTTTCTAAATTGTATATAAAGTTTAGAAACAACAAAATCGAGTTTCTTGTTTCTTGTTTATATTTTCAGTTTTTTTTAAATATAAATAAAAGCATTAGTTTATCATTCTTGACTTATAAAATGAAGGATAAATATTAAAAAAATAAAAATAACATTAAAATTTTTAATATTTAATTTAAAAAGGCTAGAGAAAGAGAAACAAGAATTAGTTAACAAAAATGTTTGTTTCTTTTTGAACTAGAAACAAGAAACAATTACCAAATGTCGTTCGACCTTTATTTGTTAAAAAATAAAAAAGAGGAAACGAGAAGTGAGGAACAAGAAACCAGAAACAGAAATAATAAACAATAAACGAGAAATGAAAATGTTAACAAACGAATAATTGTTGATACTTAAATAGCAGTATGAGACTGCTACACCGCTAATCTTGGAGTTCAGATTTAGGAGCCCTGTCCACACGCTGCATGTGTGCTCATTTGATTTTGAGTTTTTGCTTCAATCCTTACTTTGTAATGCTAATATTCTGTGTGAATATGCTGAATTTCCATGATGCCATGTTACAGGCAATCAATATTGAGGGCCTATCTTTGGACAAATTTCTTGAGCACCAAGTTGCAAACTCTGGTTGGATTCTTGAGAAAGGTCATGGGAAGGGCCAGCTTATCGTTATACCACCCAACGAATTCAACCATCCCGAACTGAAAAAGAAATCCTCCGACAGCATTCCCTTGGAACACATCACTCGCATCTTCCCAATTCTCGGTTAATCAATCCGCTTACTGGTAACTAATGTTAGTTTCTTCGATTCGCCTAGTTTTTCGTTTCTGTCGTTTCATTTGAGGACCTCTGTCAAATTTTCGACTATGCCATGCAAAGGGGGCAGCTAGTCTGATGTTTATATCTGTACCTTAATCATGCCATTTCATAATGGTTATTAGACATGGAGGGTGCGCCTAGGCGCTGGGGTGAAGCCTGAGGCCTCTGTAAGCCTAGTTTTGAAGCGTTTTCTTTTAATTATTGGTTCTAATTTTGGGTGCCTTAGGACTTGAGTTCCATATAAGTATTAGACCACATGTTTTAAATAGTGTTGTTGCCAATGTTCTTGCCCTCGTTTCCAATTATTATAGGATCAGTATGTATGGTTATTGATATTCTAAAAGAATGTGGGGAAGAAAACCAAAGTTTACATATTTTCACTCTTAAGCCTTCGATTTATCGAATTGGACTTTGACTTAGATAAGATAATTATTTGCTCCCCTATATCCAAGGGCGGGCATGGGGCCTTTGAGTATGGAAGAGCAAAGTTTCCAACTTTCAGTTATTAAAAAAAATGAAATAAAATAATTGCAATTTGTTTACCTTTTGTTTGGTCTCATTAATTTACCTACTAATTTTAACAAAAAATTGATGTAAAATTTTCAATACTCGTCAATTTCACTGAAATCAAGTGTTTTATAAATTTAAAATTGATGAAACTTTGTTTAAGTTCACAAATTTTAATTAAAAATTTGTCTCTAATGTTTCTTTATTAAGTGCTATTAATTTCATGTAGACTTGTTCTTTAATTTTTTTTAATATGCAAAATTACTTTCTTAAAAACATTTTAAATTAGAAAGTAGAAATAGCAACATTTATTTGATTTTGATATTTTGTTGGAGGATATATGCTTAAATTAGTTAAGTTATATTGAACTTTATTTAATCAAAGTTTATCAAATAATTTAAACATTAATTTTCATAAGCTTGTAATTAAAAAAATGATATTTTGCACTTCTAAGTTTTTTATTTTTATATTTTCATTTTTAAAAGATTAAATTTGTTTTTTAGTACACTTGATTAGAGACAATGTGATTAAATTTGTTAAAAGATAATGTSTTGGATAAGCTATTTTGTTAATTTATTTTCACAAATGATCCAATATTTACAAATTTTATAGTTTTAGATTTCTCGATTTAAAACTTTTTTTAAATATCAAATCTACTCTTATTTATGGTATTTATATTTATTATAATTTGTCTTTTATTTAAATGCAAAAGATTAATATTCTAAATTTGATTTTGTAAACATTAAATTATTGTGGGACCTAAATCAATCATTCTCATAATTCTCTAATTTACTCCTTAATATTATCATAATTTCCTAATTTACTCCTTAATATATTCTATTAAAAAATAAAATTTATTACAAAAATTCAATTATTACCATAATCCCAAAATTTACTTCTTAATATATTCTACTAAATAATGAAATTTATTACAAATATTTTTTCATTTCATTACATTTTTTGGCCAAATTTCAATAATATAGTCATTATAACACAGACTTTTATATATATATATATATATATACACACACTTAATAATTGTGATATAAACTATATTGATTATAACATACACTTATGTGGAGATATAATCTATATCTGGTTATAAAGTATATACAACTATATCCCTCCACAATTAACAAACAATACTAATAACCTAGAAATTTTTCGGTCGGCGACTAGACAATGGCTGGGATAAATGGAAGGCTGGAATGATCGACGGGCGTTCGGCGACAAAAAAGAAACCTTAGGATGAGGTTTTCGAATTTTTTCAATAACGGAGGATTTTGGGTTGATATTTTTCACTTTTGGAAAGTTTAATTAGGCCAAATTTAAGTGATTTAAAATGTAACTTACAATAGTCAATTTTGGATTTTTAAAATTAATTGAAGTGAGGTACAAAAGGATATATTAGTAAATTAGGTGATGAGTGTTTTAATCCCATTTGTTAATTATCTCAATTTAAAACMATACAACTTAGGTCACACATTAAAATTGAACAAAAAAAAAAGAAATATGATAGGAATCTTTTTCTCTAGTACAAAATACGTGGAATCATTTGGATCATAAAGGGTAAATGGACAATTTAGATTGGATAATTTTTGTCAGTTGGTTTAAGAGTGAATGAGGACCATAAGTTGTATTGGGTTAGCTGGAAGTGCATGTGTTTGCCTAAATGTATGGGAGGTTGATTGAACGATTAGAGTTTATTCTTAAAATATTTGATTTTCCGTAAGTCCATTAGAGTTTATCAGAATAAACTCTAACGGTAAGTCCATTAGAGTTTATTCTGATAATTGGATTCCCATGGATGGGTCTTTGTCCATTCGCTCACCGCCTTCATTATCTGTGGATAGCTTAGTTTGTAATCTCCTGTCACCGTCGGGTTAGTGGGATGTGGAGAAAATTCGACAGCACTTTAGCGATAAGGAGACTTCCTATTCCGCTTGGTGTTAGTCCGCTGGATAAACTCATCTGGCATTATGACAGAAGGGGACAATACAATATTAAAAGTGGGTACCGTCTTGCACAGCGGGGCATCGTTCATGGTTTGTCTTCCCCTTCTTCCCTCGAGTCACGGTTACAGTGGTGGAAGGGTTTTGGAAACTCCAACTCCCTAGTAAAATTAAGATTTTCGGATGGAGGTTATGCCTTGACCGTTTACCAACGGGTGAGAATCTCTTAGCCAAAGGAGTTGATGGGCTGAATTGTTGCAGGTTTTGTGGCCGAAAGGGGAAAGTACAGCCCATGTGTTTTGGTTATGTAAAAAAGTGCGATCTATATGGCAGTGCTCTAAATTCTCTCATCTTCTCCATCTTTTGTGGGTGCTGGCGAGATCTGATATAGGTCATTTTATGCGGGTGTGGACAGATATGGTTTCTTGGCAGCATATTGGAGCTATTGTGATGTTGTTGTGGGCTATTTGGAATGCGCGTAATCAAACTCCCCAACATTTCTCGTTGGGTGGCCTTTTGTCGGACATTGTTTCTTGGTCGGAAAATTACCTCGAGTTTATCAAGCGGCTCAACGGAGTTCTGCGTCTGCTCCATTGGTTTCTCGTCCACCTCGGGTGTCTTTCTGGTGTCCTTTTGCAGCGCCTCTCCTCAAGGTGAATGTGGATGCAGCTTTCAGAAAGAATCTTTTGTAGTAGGGGTGAGTGTAATTATTCGGGATTCGGTCGGTCTTGTGTATCTTACGGTCGTTCGTCCGCTTGCTCGTGCTCGTGATGTTGATTGGGTGGAAGGCTCTGCGGTTTATGAGGGTATTCTCCTTGCTGTGGAAGCAGGTTTTATTCGGTTCCAGATCGAAACAGATTCACTCCGGATTTTTAATTTACTGACGATAGATTGTGTGGATGATTTTGARGTTGGGACTCTCTACTTTGTCATCAAGCTTTTTTTGTCTTCTCATGGTATGTGGGTTTCTTTTAGTTTTACACGTAGGGACGGTAACGCTGCAGCCCATCTGTTAGCTCAACTGGCATTGACTTCACCACACCTTCAAATCTGGGTGGAGGAATGGCCTGATGAGATCTCTTTGATGTTCGCGGTGGATTGTAGTTCCTGTTCTTAATTTTGTTTGTATTTTGCCTAAAAAAAACAGTTAATTGTCGCTTAAATTTAAAATATTTCTTAATCGCTTAAATTGACCCAACTTTAACCGCTTACACACATCCATGAAAAATCCATCTGATTAACTCAACAAATAGGGCCTGATTATGAAATACTTTAAATTTAAGGACTAAAATTAAATAATTAAAAGTACGAGGACCAAATCGATAAGTTCCAAAGTACACCGATTTGAATTCGTATTCACCTAAAATACGAGGACCAAACCGATAATTACTTGAAATTGAATCCCCGAAATTGCTTCCTTCACCGGTTCTCCTCTGCGCCATCCGCCATCGTCGTCCTCATCGAGTTCCCCAGCTCAAGCCCTAGCTTACAAATCATTCGTTCAATTGAAATCTTCATAGCAGAAAGGTATGGAAATTCGGTCCCGGTTTCGATACGATTTACTTCGATACTGTTAGCCGTTTCTTTGTTCTATTGCATTCGGACGAGGAAAACCCTAGATAGTGAATTTGTCTACGCAGACCTTGGAAGTATAAGGTTTTTGAATCTCGAGTGAAGCGACTCCTTGTTTTCCTTCGTCTTTGGTTCATAATTTTTCTCTCAACATTCGTATATAGACACTTTACTTGATTCTTTTGTATTCTGTTCTTGTAATTTATGTCCTGACTGTTGGTTTTCTTTTTATGTAGTTGGCCGGCGCTACTTCGTTTCTGTTGTTGAACGCAGCTGTTGTTGCTCATGGATACCTTAAACGGGAAGGTTACATATTCTTCCCTTTCTAATGTTGGAAAGGGGAATAGAGTCCACAATGATGATGATGACAACGACTGCGATTCTCTCTGGGCCATGCCTAATGGTAATACGCCTTTCCATTTGAACGCAAAGTTCTCTGTTGAATCTGAAGACTTTATCGAGGAAGGGTATGATTCAAGTGACGAAATTGACTATCCAAAGCAAAATAGTGTGCGTCCGGAGGTTAATTTGAAGAATGTTCTAAATGGTATGGTTGCTATATTGACTGGTAAAAATAAATCTTCATATGTCTCCTCCGATCAACAAATTCCCAGTTCAGATATTTCATTCCTTGGTTCTGAAAAGAATGGAGATACCTATTTGCATTCCTCGGTTTACATTCCCAGTGCCCCACCTCTTTTTGAGCCGAATATGGTTAATTACAATGCTTATAAAGATGTTTTGGAGGCTGAACCCCCAGAGTGGCTTCCAGATAGTTCTTCGTCAATTTGCATGCATTGTACTGCCCCTTTTACTGCAATCACTCGTGGTAGGCATCATTGTCGATTTTGTGGAGGGATTTTCTGCCGGGACTGTTCCAAGGGAAGGTGTTTGATGCCGATGAAGTTCAGAGAGAGAAATCCACAGAGGGTATGTGATGCCTGCTATGACAGACTTGATCCTTTACAGGGGATACTTATTAACAGCATTAGCAATGCTGTGCAAAGAGCAAAACATGATGTGATGGACTGGACTTGTACAAGAGCGTGGTTGAATCTCCCTATTGGTCTGTCCATGGAACATGAGATATACAAAGCTTCCAAAACGCTTAGAGGATACTTCCAGGTGTGCGTACCATGCAATTTAGTTGTTAAAGGAAGTCAGGATAACTTGAATTGCCATGCATATTGTCCTAATCGAATTCGATTAAGCCATGGTGTAGATATTCTTTTGTGACATTCAATTTCCTGGTTGTTGAATTGTACAGGTCTCAAGGCTAAATCCTGAAAAGTCCATACCCGTGGCTGTACTAAAGGGCGCCAAAGGTCTTGCTATTTTGACAGTTGCTAAAGGTGGAGTGTTGGTTGCTTACAAATTCGGCACAGGCTTGGTAATTGCGCGAAGGTCAGATGGTTCATGGTCTGCCCCTTCAGCCATATTATCTGTTGGATTAGGATGGGGTGCCCAGGTATAAATATTTTTAATTCAAAGATCTTTGACATGTTTAGAATTTCTGGAAGAATTTTGAATCTTCAGAAATGGGTACTTTGGTTGGAGAATAATTTGACAACATACATTTTGGTTTCTTGTCTCTTCTATCATCTATGAGATGTGGGAACAAAGACTTCTGCCACAAGAGATTTGTATGCTTATTGAGTTCTCAATTTCTTGTTTCCCTGTTTACCTTAGATTGGTGGTGAGCTCATGGATTTCATAATCGTGCTTCATGATTCAAAAGCAGTGAAGACATTCTGTAGCCGAATGCACTTTTCTCTTGGTGCTGGGTGTAGTGTCGCTGCTGGTCCTGTTGGTAGAGTGTTGGAAGCAGATCTTCGAGCTGGAGATAGGGGCTCTGGCATGTGCTATACGTATAGTTGTAGCAAAGGTATCCTGATCAGATTATGCATTTTCTGTATTACCCAGATCATATCGTTTTTGGCAGCTATGTTATACCAGAACCAAAATAGACTCTAATGAAAATAGCGTATCAGATCATTGAATTAGCAGTAATCCATGAAATTCTAGTTTTTTTCCAACTTCAATACTCTGTCTTTGCGAATCATCTAGGAATTAGTCCCTCCTAACTGCTTGTTCTGTTGCTTAAATTTCTTTCTTTATGAAGTAAGCAACAACTATATTAATTTGTGTAGTGGTAATCAACGTCACTACATCTTGAACTCTTATTTTATCTTTATATGCTGCAAGATTGGAGATACCTTTATTTAATAGTTGTTACCAACGCATCAATACATTACATATTTAGCCATGTTGGCCTGGAGCCTGGATTACAGTTCTTCAGAAGCTGGAGATGGTAACTGATACATTAGTTTACTTCTCAACAGGCGCATTTGTTGGAGTGTCGTTGGAAGGAAACATTGTAGCAACAAGGATGAGCACGAATCTATGCTTCTATGGCGATCCGTATCTAACCACCTCAGACATTCTTCTGGGGACAGTAGAAAGACCAAGGGCTGCTGAGCCATTGTACTCTGCACTTGAAGACTTCTATTCTATTCTGCAATAACAAACTCAAGCCCCTCTGCAGCACGTCTCCCATGGCTGCGGTTAGTAGTCCACAATTTAATTGTAAATGAACATACATCCACAAATAGAACAGCATATAATTCTTTTATATTCTCCCCCCACCAAAYAGTAAGGCTTGTAATATATGAAATTGACTGGTTTATTCTGGTGTAAATATGTACATATGCTTGCTATTCAAAAGGGAGCCTCTTTTTTCTTTTGATATTTGATATGGATTGCCTGTGTCTTGCTTCTTGTGGGTAGTTCTATTTCATTTATAACTGCCTTTGTCAATTCTAAGTATTTGAATTTATAGATATCAATGTTGTTTTCTTCTTCTCTTTGGAAGAAAGTAAAGAAAGCTGGAAGCTGACCTTGCTTTTGCAGGGCAGAGAAGAATCTCTTGTAATATGTGTGAGGTTTAGGAAAGCCTTACCTGTGAAAACCAAGAATGTGATCCTCTTACCCTTTCTTTTTCAATTATTTGAATCTCATTTTGTAGGTTTTATTCTAACTTGAACTTTCATTTTAGTCCCCACATTTTACAAAAATTACCATTTTGGTCTTTACGCTTTAAAAATGTCCATTTTAGTCCAACTTCTTAAGGACATAACTATTTTGATATTTATTGTACTTGAACTAGAAAAAAATTACTCACCCAGTACAAAAATAAACCACGAATGTTCCAATCTCTATACTACTATTTATGAACAATAAAAGTCTATCAAGTTGCTTGTCTGTGTCCTATTTGGTTCGAGATGTCCTAAAAAATTTTAGAAATGTTTTCTAATTTAATTGGGTTATTGGATTTATAGTTGAACGAGAATTATCCTCCAAGTTTGTTGAGAACTTTCTAAGTACGCATTTTTTTAAAATCAGGCAGAGAGCTTATCCCAATAATGTTGTTTTGCAATATATAAGATGATTTGGTCATAATGCATTTAAACATACATACATATATATTAGATTCTTTATGAAATTAAAATTTATCAACATAAATAACTAAGTAATTTAAAAATATCATGAGTAGCCATTTAACAAGATATTTGCCTTTGCCTTCAAGACACATTGCATTGATGAGGATGAAACAAAAGCAAGCCATTGTGTAGTCTTAATGGCTTGGGGAAAACATGATGCAATGAACAAAGCCCCAATGAGCCTATACATGGAATTGGAAGCCATGTTGAAAGAAAGGGATCACTCATCAATCTTTGACATCGGTAACCCCTTCGGCCGAAATCTGAAACCGCGCTTCAGCCTCAGCTAAACAAGGAGAACTTATCACTTTACAGATGCGCTCCTCCCCTCTTCCTTTCCTTAGAGCAAGCCTGCAGCAGAAATGGGATTGGTTTTACTTCTTAAGCATGAGGGAAGGATAACTTTGTTATAACATGACAGACAGACCTCGTTGTAGAAGCATGAGCCATAATGTTTCCACCAATTGGTTTAATTTGAGGTCCTGCAAAGATTGCTGAACCATCTACTTGTGCAACCACTTGATTTGTGATGACTACAGCCACACCAAACTACAATCACAGCACATCAAAAGCTGAGTCTCTTTCCCAGAACATAAGAATTCACTCATTCTTGTATGAGTGTCTTTACCTCATCTGCCAACTTTTGGAGACTCCTTAAGAACTTTGCTAGATGCATTTGTCGAGCGGAAAGTTCTCCCCTTCCTGAGAAATCCGTTCTATAGAGGGCAGTAGCGCTATCGACTATCATGAGAGCGAACCTACATTTAGAATGGATCTCAATGATTCTTTTCAAGATGATCAAATAAGCTATTCAGATTGTTTTGTAAAATTGATATGCTCGGAAAACACTATATTTGCAATTGGTTTGATCAATCCTACACAAACTATGGTATGTACCTCGTTTCCACCATCATTGAAGCAGCTTCCAGCAAAAGCCTCGACTGATGGTCGGTATTATATGCTCTAGCATAGGCCACATTCTCCAAGACATCAGCACCATTGAGTCCAAATCTGCAACGATCAATATCACACTCGCACCATAAACTATTGGATCACATACACAACAGAACAACACATAATCTTGAATCGCATCTCCCTATCACACCTGTCTGCAATCTGTAAGAGTCTCTGCGGTCTGAATGTTCCCTCGGCATCAATGTACATCGCCTTTCCCTCTCCTCCACCTTGATCCAAAGGAAGCTGATAGATAATTCAAAATGCCTCAGAAATACCCATTGATTAATATGAACTAACAGATTCCATTACTGGTGACAGTGTAATAACACAATTTTAAGCTGAACTCACTGAAGTGAACACCATTATTGGAGTAGGAGGAGTGTCTTACTTGGCAGGTAACACAGAGCGTGTGACAAAGCTGAGTTTTCCCAGAACGGAACTCCCCATAGATTTCAGTAATGGATCCTGTCTCAATTCCTCCTGAAAGAAGGTGTAAAATCTGAAGTAAGCAAACAAGAGTTTAAAGTTGATGCTGGAAAATGTAAGGGGGGAAACGGGCCAATAGAACTTGGAAGTTCTGCAAGAAAGCGACCTTCTAAAATCTTGTCAAGTTCCCTTGACCCAGATGTTAACTGAATGATCTCGAGCCTCTGAGCATGGAGTTGGCCAGCGCTAGTAAAACCCAAAGGCACTATCTTGGAAGCTGTTGACAGTGAGTTGATTGATTCAGACAGAGACACACACAAAATAAGTAAATGGGAAAATGAGAAATCGCAAGCAGATGAAACAGAAAGCAAATAACATGCCTGCTTCAATGATTTTATCAACTTTGGCCTCGCTTATGCCTTTGATTTGAAGCAGTTCTTTCCTGGGAGAGTAAGCAACGGATTCAACCGTGCACAGACCAGCATCTTTAAGCTTCTTCACATCAATTGAGGCGATACCCGATGCCTTTGATACATCATTCATGGATTCAAATAAGAAAATTACTTAAAACTCGAAACCCGTACAGGGAATTGATAAAGCCGCAGTCTAAGACTGGCCCTTGTTTCCAATAAAGCAATGTAAATAAATTAGAGGGCAAAGTCCGGTCTTGAATTCAAGAATTCACCGGGTATTCGGGAATCGATCGACGCAACAGGAAAAATAAAAACCCTAGTTCGTTAGTGGTACCTGAAGCTGTTCTACGGGAAAAGGGCCGTGCTGTATCTCCTCGGCCTCTTCGTGTTCCTCCGAGGGCTTCTGGTTTCTTTGACGCTCCATTTTCAGAGATTGGATTACACCACTGCCCCACGGAGAAAAATAATCACTTCAAAGCGATGCCTTGCCAACCAGAACCAGGAGAATTTTGCAAATTGCAGAAACGAAGCGAGTGGGGAAAAATGGTGGAGGGAATTTAAGAAATTCAAAGGCGCCAAATTGAGAGAGAGTACGGAAATGGCTTACCCGGGAAGTTTTCTGAAGAGGGTAACAAAATTTGGGCCGAGATTTGGAGTATAATGAACTGTTGTTGCCCATTGGATCTCTTCCATCGCTGAAGAGTCTCGTTCTGTTCCATCGCCAAAAGCCCAAAATCCCAAATGCTACACAATTTCTCTCTCATTCCATAGTTTTTGGTTAGAGGTTTTGTTTATTTCCGATTTTGGTCCTTGTGGATTCAATTTTTGTTTTAATTTTACTTGTACATGTCCGTACTTCTAAAAGTGATCAATTTAGTTTTTATTTGTAGAAATTTTTTATATAATTAGAACTCTTTAATACAAAATAAATAAAATTTGAAAATATATGAACTGATTTGAAAGTAGAATGGAAGGTCTTCATATTTTTTTCAAGCGTTACATATTTAGTGCTTGTTTTTTCTTTCTTTTTTTTCTTTTTTTTTTCTGAGAAAGGCATATTTAGTGCTTGCTGGCATGCCTTCACGCGTGCACGTATGTTTAAAAAAAAATTTCCTTCTTGAAAATTGTATTTTAAACGTTTTTAAACTTTAAATAAGTATTTAATTAGTTAGGTTAAAACATAATTTAATCGAATAATATTACAATAAAAATAAAATATGTTTTTGAAGTTATACTAATAATTAATTTTATATTATTTGTCATTGATATATATATCCATACGTAACTATAGTTTATGCTTATGATTTGCGATAAATGTTAACTAAAAATGTTCAAATATCAAACTATTGGAGGTGATTTTGTGTGGGATGATGGGTACAAATACATCTCGATTGATAAATCGTTATATTTTACATCTTCGGTTTTGATCACACTCATATGCAAAACAAACACACCACTTCTCTCAACATACACTTCTATTTGAACAGTCACATCCTATAAAATTTTGAATGACAAAATCGGTGTGCATTAAAATGTCTATGATAAAATTGAAATGTTAACCTCATTTATACATATATTATAGATTATATAATTATATATTAAAAATTTATAGAGGAGTAAACAAATTGGTTTTTTTCTTTAATATGGATTTAAACGTTTAAATAATGTGAACCAACCTTGTTATCTATATTATTAAATATTTAACAACACATTATTCTTTTAATTGAAGTATTCGCTTTTTCATTTATCTTTTCGAATGTTGAACATTTAATTTTTTTTAACCAATTAAAAGCGGTTCGATAAATTATAGGAAAAAAAGGTGCTTTATATACCTATACAATAATAGACCATTAATAAATTATTAAAGTGCTATCTCATTGGATATCTCCTTTTTTGTTGGCCATGTGTGGTACGACGGACAATTTAATTACCTTTGAAAAAAAAAAACAACATAAAAAGTCACTGACATGATTAGTGCCCCCATGATGTAAACTCCTACCAAATGTCATCGAGACAGCAGAATACAATAATGTGCGGTGATAATTCAAGGCTTGTCTGGTAGAAAATTCAGATACAATTTTTTATTTTTAGATTTACTTAATCAAATGAATTGTTTCTGAGAATTGTTTTCGAATTCTATAATCTAAAAATTTGAAAATAACTAGTTTATATTTTATGTGTCTTCAAATTTTAAATCTTAAACTTTAAAATGTATAATTATATTTAAAAAGATAAAAAAAATGTGTGGCATAATTTATAGTCTATTTGGTAGAAATTTTAGATACATTTTTTTATTGAGTTATTTTTGAAAATTGTTTTCGAATTTTATAATGTAAAATTTTGAAAATAACTTGTTTATATTTTTCGTATCTTCAAATTTTAAATCTAAAACTTTTTTTTTTTAACTTAAAACATTTAAAATATAATACTTTATATAATAATATATCATTAATAATTTATTAAAGTGTAATCT